TATAGGTCTTGTATATTGTTTTGAATTGCTGTTCTCCAATTGGGATAATTCCCACAAATTAGGTTACAATTCTCGAGTTATTAGTCTATCTCAAAGGGAATTTTGAAAAAAATCCTCTCTGCCCTATCTGATACTATAAATAGAATCAGGGTAGATTTATATTATGAGTTTCTTTTTCATATTTTTCACTTTCCTAGAACTGAACTGGTTTTACCTCTTTTAATGGTTATTTTATTCTATTTATTTGATTTTGATGCTGCCCGATTCAGATTTTTTCCAAAGTTTACTTTCTTTTGCCAGAACCTACCATTTACCGAAAGCTTCTAAATCAGGGCAGTCCCTTCTAACACATAGTTTAAAGTTTTATTCTAGAAGTTTTAATGCACTGATTCTAGTTTTGCCCTTTGAGCAATAGACAATATATTCACTCTGCTTTTTGCATGACAATCCTTCATATAGTTGAAGACTGTTGTTTATTTATACATCAAATTTATATAGCCACTCATCCCCCACCTCCTCAGGGGATATGACTGTTATCATGTCTGCCAGCTTTTCTGTATTGATAGATATACAAAGAGTTTTTAAATGTTCCTCATATACTTTGGTTTTTAGACTTTTCCTCATTGTGCAAGTCTTCTCTAAACTAACTCCACGTGATATCATCCTATTTGAACTATGTCGCCTATAGGTAGACACAAAAGACATCCTCTGGATCCAATACCTTTGTCAAAATGACAAAAAGAGTGCAGTATAACCTCTGCTCCTTTGGTATATGTGTGCAATAGAAAAGGGATGCAACAGTGTGTGAGAATGGCCTTTGGAGACAAGAGGAACAGCTGTAAACTGGACAACTGATATGTAAAAGATATCTCAGTACACAATACAGAAGACATGGGAAGTTTCAGAAGGGAGTTTTCCAGAAAGTAAAACTCTTGCGAGAGTCTACTAATATATAACCTTACAATAAAGACAGAGCTACTATTCACTACTGTGTTTCTTGTAGAGATTGCCTTGAAAGAGGTGCAGAGCTCACATCATTATGCATGACACTGCTTTGGCCCCTTGATCCCTTCCCCAATGCTCTACTTGGAGAGCAGAGTGGTGATCGGGACACGATGTTCTTATTAATGCTCCACAAGAAGTACAGTATATGTGCTTTTAACAGTTATGACTACTTTTGATTCATGTCTAACTTGTAAAGACACCTATATTTCCTCTCACATGCAATATGGGCCAAGCCAGATCTCTGACTTCCTGTATTTATGCCTTACCACTTTTCTTACATGCAAAACTTTACATTTGTCCCTGATAGATTGTCTCCTATTCATTTCATCCCACTGTTCAAGTCTGTCTAGACATTTTCTTCTTTATTTAGACTGTTAGTCACCTCTTCCAGCTTTGTATCACATACAGACTTTACAAGTATGCTCTCATCTTCTGAACACAAGTCACTTATAAAATTGAAAAGCATAGGAGCCCATTTAAATTGTGGATCATAAGATGAAATTATATGAAAATTAACATTCAATACACAAAACAAACCATTTCAAAACTTATGTGTGAACTGATGGGCATTTGTCTGAGGTAAGAAATGTGGTTAATCTGTGAGCCCAGAAGAGAAACAAAAGTATTGCTGTTACTAATGTAAGAAAAAGAAAGCTTCATGTGCAGATATGGTTAAAAAAACCCAGAAATTTTTGAAAAATATTTTCAAATGTTTTCTCTATTCTATTTATGCTAGTAACCTATCTGTTGTCTGTTACCTGTCTATATCTTTCCATCACATATATATGAGCTTGGCTAAGCTTACAAGTGGCTGCTTTATAGCTCTGAGGTGTAAATTTAGAGGGCTTGTTTTACTCAAAATTTAAACACCTTGTCAAATTAGTTGCCTAGGCCTACTATGTCTATATTAGTGATAAGTAAGGCTTCTTTCATTGTCTTTAACAACATTGTACAAAAAGCAAACAGCAAACTTTTTGTCAGTAAAAGATTATAAACAGAACTGATAATGTCTTCAGAACAGTAAAAACTAAGTTCATCTCATTAATAAACACAAGAAAATTATAAGTAGAACTGGAGTATAGTGAGCAAATTTCCTACACTACTAAAAAACCTCTCTCTCCTGATGTAATCAAGCCATGAAATATTTCAAATCAGCTAAAGTCAGATGATATCTAGAGATTGACTTGGAATAGATTAGTGCAGATTTAAATCTGAAAGTATTAGAAGGTTATCTGGTTTAATCTATAGGGTCTTCCACATCCAAATAGCTAGCCACATTTAGTGTCTAGTGGAATCAATCAATTATATCATTCTAAAAAGAAATAAATAAAAAGTGGAGACAAGGCCAAAATGAGACCATCTTCATTCACTGTTTATTTGACAAGTAATGGAAACAGTATATTTCCTTTACCACTTACCTTTTTAATATTTTCTCCATGTCAAAAGATCTGTTTAGATTATTGATGTTCTTAATCTTTTTTTTAAAAAAAAATCAAATATATTTTGTTTCATTTATGAACATTTAACTTTATTCAGGATATGTGGTATATTGCTAATAATCCTATGTACTCAAATCTAGAAATGTTCTGTACTGTAGCAGTCTAATTAAAATGACATAAGATTCATCTTTCGCTTCTTGTTATTTCAAGAATGACTCATCTTTGATTTAAAAATTGCACATGCAGACATACCCACGCTTTGTGCACAAATAGATTAAATGAGCCTGAGATTTCTGTATGAGTAAGATAATGGTGCTAATTTCAGCATCTGCATATACAACACACTTGCATCAATTAAGTGCCCCTCATAAATGTTTTTGGGATCATAATTCTATTCTTCTTCACTGATGTTTTATTTCTTCTGTTCACTATGATTGATATGGGCCATAATTTTGTTTGTCTGAAAAATAAAATTTATGAACTTACTGATTTTGAAAGTCTATTAAATTTTGCTTGAACATTGTATTATATAAAAAATTTAAAAATGGGATATAGACATTATGAAAATAGATAGGATAACTGTTATTTTATTTTTATAAATACATTGCTTAGAGAATAAATGGATTTACCAGATATTCTTTTAATACTTTCTCTAGTTTCTGGTTCAGATCTTCTTCAGACTAGAGTTGCAGTATGAAATATACAAAGTAGAGTGTACATACAACTTCAAAGCTTATAACACTGGAATTTTATTTCTTACCACTTTAGTTATGACCTTCAAAGTCATAAAACAGATAGAGGCAAAATGGTGCTGTAAACATCTCATTTGGCACCTAACAGACTTTATGCTTGATCTGATCTTTTTGTTTTTTTTAAAAAATGAGAAATTAGCAGGCTCTAACAAGGCATCATGATCTGGAATGGGTTTCCTGGTGTTAAAATAAACCACTTAATATAAAACAAAGTTTGAGCAGATTAAAGTATGCTCACAAGCCCAGAAGGAAAAAAAAAAGGAAAGAAATTAAATTGGAGTATTCTGGTGAGCTGGAGAGAGGAAATTAAAGGAAGCTATTTTTTTTTTTATTTTTTTTGCTGATATACTAATATTTCCTATTTGAACTTGCCTACTGTTGAAGAAAAATCGGGTCCAGTTCCAAGCCGGGAGTAAATAAAATGAAGGCTAAGACACTGGAAATAAAAATGAAGGCTACTTAAGAAAGAAGGTTCCTGTTTATGGATGAGCAGAACCAGCAACAGTATGAAGTTCTGAGACACCTGACCAACTGGAGCTGAGAGTAGGTGGGTTTTTATACCTTCTTTGGGCTTTGTATTTGAGGTGCCTGTTCCTGTGCAATGTACTTTGATCTGAGCTTGAGTGTGCCCTTTTGGTATTCTAATGGTGGGGGTTAATCCTATTATGTCCTAAAGGTCCTGTCCTGTCCTTGGAGTTGGATGGGGAATGTAAATTCTTAATCCCATCAGTTGTGGTTGCTGAAAGTGTTTTGCTTATGAATACTGTGCCCCAGTATTTCTGAATGGATTACCAAATCTGCATTTCTAAAGAGTGGCCTCAGGTTTCTGCCTGAGGAAAGGGAGACTGGAGCTGGTTTCTACCTTCCTTAAGATTTTTCTCCTTTAGGGGAAATATTCTGTCCTGCCTTTTTTAATATTCCCCAAAATATTTCATTCTCTGGGGAGTGGGTACTGACTCCCTACATTACCATTTTGTGAATAGATAAGCTCCCCCCCCATTTATGCACTTTATGAGAATGGCCATAACATGTCTTCAGAATTCCATTAGTGTGTCTGGCTCTAAAGATTGCTGCCCTTTGATCAAAAACTAATGTATGATGAAATATCCATCTTTTGGATTGAAAAGAAGCTGCAAAAGTATTATTTAAAACAAGTATTTACAAAGACTGTTAAGATGTTTGGAAGACCAAATATTTTTGTGAACAGCTTGTGGTCTTCCTACACTACATGGAACAGATGTGAACTTCCATGGAATTATCAGGGTTGGTTTTATGAACCTTGCATGATTAATTAACCTTTTATCTTTCAGACTATAAATTTAGCCTAACATTAAACAGAGGTACAGAACAAAACTGAATTGGTTCAATGCAAACTGTAATATAAACTGTTAGGGGCAAACTTTCAACTTTTATATAATTCAACTTTTATATAATGTATATAAAATTTTATATAATTTTGATCTTTCATGTATTATATTATCTTTAATTGCCAAAACAAATTGTCTTCAGGAATAGTTTAAAAATTATAATTGCTCATTAACTAGGTAATGGTTACAGACCAAACAAAAAAGGTTACCATAGTAAAACATGCATAACCATAGCAATGCATAATCTGTACACAGTATAACAATATAACATAACTTGGCCATATTTATTTATTATCACAATTATTTATATGTTGCCAAATTGATCAATTGTATATTACATTAGAAATATACAATTAACATGTGAGAACTTTTATACTAAACAGTTTAGAAAGATGGAAATTTCAAGCTGGTGAAATGAATTGAAGTACCAATTGTGAGCATTGGTTAACCCCTCCCCCATGAAATATATATTAGTATAAATATTGGCTATTTATGTAACAATTGATTTCATAATAAAAATGATAAAGTAGCATGGCAACGTAAGTACAGATATGTGAAAACTGGAATAAAATTACATTGGAGATATTGTGAAATTCAAAGTTTCACAAGTTATTTAACCTTAAAGAAAGGAAACATTTAAATGTCAGGAGAAACTTATTAAAAATAGCAAGTTATACTGTCCCAGAAGCATCAGCTTCATTTATATTTTCCAACTTTTAAAAAAACTATACTACATGACAACGATAATGTCTATGTTCTGTGTGAAACTGTTAATGCCTCTGTCACAACTGATAAAAACAGTATGTAGACAGGTTTTTACTGTTGAATATGGGAATGGGAACATAACCAAGGAAAAATCCCACTGTGCGAAAAGAAAATGATTTGTATACAGTTGTTAGACATTTGTGGTAATAAATATCCAGAAGCAAAGATACAATATGTGTAGTGAAAAAGCAGACTCCTTGCTCTGCTAGCAGGAAAAGCAGAGGATGATAAATTTAACCAATAAGGATGATAAAAGTAGCATTTTTCCAAATACTACAATATTCTGCTCCTCTGACATTTGAATCAGTTCAAAATACGTTATTTATTTGGCTGAAGACTTTTTTTGTAACAATTCCTGCAAGGGAAGAAAAGAAAAGAAAACAGAGTGGGAATAATTAGTTGTCTGAAGTTCCTTGCTCCTTACTTTAAACTGAATAACAAACTAATTTTTACTTGATATTTACTAACATAAACCTGAATCCCTAATAAATTCTGCAGAGTGCTGACAGGTTGAATTGTAAGCAGAAAGGGGTGGGGGACTTTGCCCTGCTCCCCATCACTACTGATAGATTATTTATGAAAGAGACAAAGGAAATAGTCTGGGATCTGCAAGTCATTTTCTTATAACTGCTTTCTTGCATCTAGCATTTGATGGAAGGTTTTGATTTCATGAGCAGCACATTAAAGGAAGCCAAGTTATCTTTTGTCAGTTTGAATGTGATGGAAGACTTTGTTCTCTCTATCATTTGGAACAACTACGAGGTAGATTGCAGGTATCTCTTTTATTTTGCAGATGAAAGAAGTATGTATGAATAACCAATAGCTGGAACTGTTTTCAGCTTGAAGGGGAAGAGGGAGGTTGGGAGTTCTATTATTTTGTTTTGGAAGAAAGGGATTTCTACCAATTAGAAATGTACTAATTAACTACATATTCTAGTGATGAAATAAATAACTGTTATATAATAAACTTATATAATAAGCAATGCACTCCAATAGCTTTATCTAGTTACTTAAATCACTTCTGTGTCATCCATCTGTCTCTGCATCTTCAACCAGTATATAAAGGGTTTCTCCTTGTGTGTATTACAGTTGCTTATAGCTAGTGTTCCTGTTGCAACTGGAAATGTATACAAAGATGAGGCTGCTGTTCTCTATAGCAACTGTACAGATGAACCTCAATTTACAACCATAAAGACCTTCCCTGTTATGGCCATTAGGTGTGATGGTTGTAAAGCAGGTCACCCACATGACTCACCTGACATTACAACCTTGTTTGTGACATTTGTTATGCAAACACCAAGGTCATTAAGCAAACCCATTGTTTACTATGGGGTGTTTTTACTGAAAACTGGAAATAAATATTTTTTGACAAAAAGGTTGTAAATTACAATCATGTCACCATGGCTGCTGCAAACAGCTGAAAAGATAGGTTGGTGGTGAGGTGCCCTAAATATGGTCCCATAACCAGGAGAACGGGGCTGGCCATTAGAACTCTGGAACGAGATTATAAGTACCTTGGGGGGGGGGAGATTTCCATTCTAACTTTAAGTGGTCTCTAAGAAACCAGTTGTCAGTCAATGTATGTGTAGAAGACTGTGAAAAAGAGACTAAAGCTGCTAAGGGCTAGATAGGCTGAATGAGAACAGGGTTAAAAGTCTTGATGATTAAGATAGAGAAGGAAAAGGAATAGTAAAAGTGGAAGAACAACAAATTGCCCAAGTTACTGTACAATCAACTTCTCCATCCTGTAATTTGGCCACCATTGCTTTAAAAGTGAAATCCTATGCTATTTTATAATTGAATTTTCAGTTATTTTAGCTGCTGTGGTCTCTTAATCATGACATCAGATTGCATTGCTATGAATATAATTGCCTCATGTTCCCATTTATATTGTGGTCTGCCCATTGTTTAGATTGCTCTTTCACGGTCTTACAAATGTTTAGTTTGAAGCTGTTACACTAACAAGGACTAAAGGGCTCAGATATTCCAGACTGAGTTGAATGTCTATCCTGAACAATGAATTGCATGAGGGCACTGAAAGTAAACAGACAGAATTACCCAAGATGGAAAACAAAGACCAATCTGATTTCTAAGGATAACCTACAAGCAATAAAATGGATTTCCTATCTTTCCAGAAACTACTTTTGAGCAACATACTGATTCTAGTAAAAGGAGTGACATGTGTATAATGGGAAATACAGATAACTGTCTATAAGGCCTGTAGATCTACCTGCCTGATAGTACACTATTTATAAAGAAGTATTTTATGTGCAAGATAATAGAATCTATTTCCCCACCTCACACCATAATGATACATGTTAAGTTAAAAGAGTGTACCATCTGCAGAAATTCAATTTCCATTTGAAGAGCCTCACAGGCATTTTCCGTTTCATCGTCTTTATAATTCTCCAACTGCTTTTTAAGCCTGTGCCAATATTAAGAAAGAAAAATATCGTGTCACCTGATATGGTGAACTTGTCAGCTTCCTCTTAACTGCAAACCTAATCCTCATTTAAGCTTGATTATCTTAGCAGGAATTTACAAAGCTGCCCAATAATTGGTGGGTCATGCATTAATATACAATTATAAATTGCAACCAAAATGTGTTATGAGGTAACAACTATATTCAACACCCTAGAAATCACAAGGCAGTTTCAGAAAAAGATTAGCAGTATGTAGAAATTAAAATAATTTGGGGAGCAGGGGTAATGATGTTTATGTCTTAAACTTGTATTACAGATCTTTGTATAATTTATTCTGGCTGGATCTCTCAAGCCTTGGGAGAAGATGGTTGTTTATCCCCCTTTAGTTAGTTTAGTTTAACCAAAGATTAAATATTTGTTCTTGTGGTCAGCCATATTCTTTTTTATATCTGTTATTTCATTTATAAACTATCCAAAGTCATTGGGGAGTCAAGTAGCCTCAACATTTAAATAAGTAAATAAATCTACCATATAATCATATGATAACAATGAGAAAAAATGTTCTACAGGCATTGGCTTCAGAATATTTTGCTAGAGTTATAAGCTTCCTATTTTCTGTTTTCATTCTGCCACAAGACAAAAATATGTCTATACGATGGCTGGGTAATGGCAGCTCAAGCATTTTTATGGTACTTGGCTTGATTCATTAAGCATAGTGTCATGTGAAACGACTTCCTGTTGGCTTCTCCACTGACTTTGCTTGTTGGAAGCAGGCTGTGAAAGTTACAAATGGCAATCACATGACCCTAGGATGCTGCAACTATCTTAAATGCATACCAGTTGAAAAGAATTCTATTCTGTTCTGTTCTGAGCAGAACACGGCAACAAGCTTAAATTTTATTGGAGAGTATTGAATTCACATACAAAAACGTGTAGGAGCAGGACAATAACATTTTCAAAACAAACTTTTAAAGATGAAGCATAAGTCTATCCTTCCTAATAGATTGCTGATAGAATCGTAGTTCAGGTGACACACTGAATATTTGTCATAAAATGTCCTTAATGTTCTTTAGTTGCACATGGCAAGTTATTCTCAAAATGTTATTCATAAAAAAATTCTGATTTTTCTGAAATAGTTTGAGAATCAGGTTACCTAAATTCATAAAATATTTTTTTAATTGCAGACTAGCCAATTCAATTTTAGAAAGAAAACACCTTATATACCACAGTTTACTTAATAATACAGGCTATATAAGGGATATGTTTGAACTAAATCTTCAAAAAGAATTTAAATGTATAATGCATGGACATCATATTACATGAAATGTTTTACTAGCATAGAGATTACTTGAAAAGTTAATTGAATGAGTGATACTAATTCCATTGGTGACAAGTTAATATATGATCTTATAATACAAAGGGCAAATTTTAGTGGTACCATAAGTTTAAAAAACCTTCTGAAATATGGGAGTTATATTAAATTTATTCTGGCTTTCTTTTTGCAGCCTCTGAACTTGTCTTAGAATTTCGACCTGATAGAAGGATAGAAGACAATTGAAGAAAGACAACAGAAAAATGAATAGAAGTGAGAAAAATAAATATTTGTAGCATCTCTTCTACAAGAAATTAAAAAGATCTAAAAACCAAGAATCCACATGCAGTATACTACCTATTATGTAGTATGCTGCATGTGTAGCTTAAGTAGATACTTGCTGGACCAAGAAAAGGCTATTTCAGATCATTTAATGGCCCGTAGTATATGCAGCAATAAAGTTATACTGCACTGCTTGTCATACTTGTCAGGAGACTGCAGAATGAAAGTTAATTATAAAATTGTATCAAATCCATTCATAATAATAGGGGAACAAGAAATCCCAGAAATTGGGATTTTGTGAGTGCTAAGTGAGCTTATATAAGAAAGTATTGTGTTCTGGGTACAGTATATCAGTTAGAACATGGGATGTTGGCTGAGACTTTATAGCTATATTAGATACTAATGAGATTCACAAGCTTTCTGTTTAGAGAATGGTACATTATTGCATGAATGCTACTTCCATGCATACGGATTCTGTTGAGCGTAATGGTAGCATGCAGTTCTGAATTAAAGATGGCTATTTTAATGAAACATTAATTCAAAAACTAGTTTCCCTGTAAGTATGCCTTTATCCAATGTAGATTTTTTTATAAGGCAATCTATACCCTACTGGCAATTGTGAGAAAAAGGATCAAGCAGCTCACAGAGAGTCCTCAGTAATATACTCACTAATAAATGAGGGCTGGAGTATACTTATCCACTTTCCAAGATTACTGTCAAACTCCTAATCATAGCACACCAAGGAAGTTGGATTCACAGTCTTATTAATGAAGTTTAGTGCCAGAAAAAAAGCAGTTAGGTTATGAAAACTAGATAAGTATGTTCTAGCTTTCATTTATTATTATAACACTCCATGATCATTCCCCCCCCAAAGGACACATATGCAAATATTATGCATATTTGTTGGCGTTAAGCATTCATGTACACAAACATACCATGTTTCCCCGAAAATAAGATCTGTTTTTTTGGGGGGGGGGCTCCAAAAGAGGCACCAGGTCTTATTTTGGGAGGGGGAGTCTTTTCCACTCACCTCTAGTACCGATAGCCCAACCCAGTCAATCCACTTCTGCAGCTGATGGAGCAGCTTCATTCTGCAGCTGAGAATGGAGCTCCGGCCTGCATTTCGCAGTCAAAGTCCTTTCCAGAAGGCAACTGTAGCTGAGAATCGAGCTATGGATTCAGTCCTTAGCTCAGTTCTCAGTTATAGAGGCCTTGAAGAACCGAGCTATGGATTGAATCCATAATTTGGTTTGCGGCTGCAATGGCCTTCTGGAAAGGCTTCTGACTGTGAAATGCAGGCTTGGGGTAGCTGCAGAAGAAGTGGACCAGCAAGGAGAGGCCTGGCTGCAAGGTAAGTGGGTGCAGGGCACAGGGGGCAGTTCCACACCCCCACCTAGCTTGATGTTTAGGTATGTGCTTCGCCCCAAAACTAGGACTTATTTTTGAGGTAGGGCTTATGTTAAGCCCACCCCCAAAAATCAAACTAGGGCATTTTCAGAGTAGGTTTTACTTTTGGGGAACCATGGTAGATAGATCACTTTTAGCAATTCTGATACAGGAGTACAGTGGTTCACAAGGTTAGGATGTTTAGCTGACAATTGGACAGACTCGTGTTCGAGACCCAATTGCTGTCACAGTGTGCTCCTATTATCCAGTAGTTTGAAAGCAGGCAACTGCAAGTAGATAGATAGATAAACTTCGGTGGGATGAAAGGATCAGCTGGGCTCTCAACCCAGAAGTGTTTTGATATTCCTGACTCAACTGTAATAATAGTAAGACAGATTTTAGAAAAATTATTATCCTTTATTTTACTTGAAACTAAGCTAATATTCCCCAATAACAAACAAAGACTCTGAACACAAACATTAAGTTAAAGAAAACAAATTCTCTCATCAGGCCAGTTTTTTCAAATCAGAAGAAATAAATCCTGCCTAAGATCTGATTACAGTTCTTCATATTGCTGCAGTTTATTCTGCTATAATGTTCAAATTTCAGGGACATATTTTTTCATACATGAAAAATCTCCTAGAGGTATAAAATCTTCTCACTAAATTCAGAATAGCTAAAAATGTACATATTATGCATCAACTGTGTGCCTGGATGTCTAAGTAACAGAAGCAGTTGTGAATATCATAGGTAACAAAACAGGAAACCAAAATACACAAGCTGCAGTTAAAATATGCAGTAAAATGGGTAACAACTAGGAGGAAACTGGTTTAATTAATTTAAAGAGTATATTTATGCAGGGTCAAATAATCAGTCCCGGAGGTTTGTAAGAATATATGTTACATATCTGCAGTCAGGAAATCACCATATCTAACCTCATGTGACTATATCTAACTTCATTGAATAGGTATGATTTATGATCTCATCTAGCAGGGAAGCTACAATCTGTAGTTTTATCAGAAACCAATGATTTGGACAAAACAAAAGTCAGAATATTAATTCCTTCCTAATGTCTATTTAGATTGCAACTCATTTGCTTGAAGTAAATATGAGTTTCAACATATGCCCATGTGTTGAAGAGCTACTGCTGGTCAGTTAGGTAACTAGTGCTAGTTTGCTCTAAAGACCAACTTAATATACTTGGCAACCAGTCCCCTCCAGAGCAATCACTGCAATATTTTTATAGATTACCATAGTCATTATCCTTTCCTGACCTGTTATTATAAGACCCACAACCTGAGTGAACAGTTTTATAACAGGGTACATAATTGTTGCTCCAGTAGGGATCGGTAATGCACACCAGATTTGCCTGTTTATCACATCATTGCATTCTTATTGGAACAAGCCTGGAATTTACAAGCAGCAATTCATCTGCATGTGCCCAGAATAGAGGCAACTGGCTTAGAAGAAGAGAAAGTGTAAGTTATCTTTCTCCTGTAATGATCTTGTTTACTCAAATTCCTTTCACAAAGGACTCCTAAGCTCCATCACAACATAATCTCCACTGATTGTCTCTCTATGGAAATCAGCTGTAGTCAGAATTGGTCACAACATTGGTAGAATGGCAGTCACTGTTTGAGTCACTGTTTATTAAAGCAAGTAGTGGGAGAAAATTAGTCCAGGATAAGAGAGGCAGAAGAAGAAACTTTAAAATGACAGATCATTGAGAAAAGGGAGATGAGAGACAAATTAGTCTAATTCTAAAGATTTCCTCCTTCATGCTGCTTGTGCTCTGCTATCAAACCTTCAACCTGGATTCATAAAGAGGGGCTGGGTAGCAATTTCCACATGTGGAGGGAATGATCCAATAGGTCAGCTGGAGAGAGTTTGTTTTGTCCTCATAAGAGAGTAGGGAGAGCCGAGTGTGTGACAGTTGGTGAAGCTGATCACAATCTAAATACAGATAAACAGCCCATTTAGATTTGAATTAGAGGCAGTAAAGAGAAGATACAATGGGGCTCA